GGGTCATGTTCTCCACCCCTTTTAATTTGATGATAGTTTTCTCTTGGGTGAGCTCATATACTAAAACTAAGAGCATGATGGTATGTGGATCCCCAGTTTCTCCCATAGTTGGAGACCCAGCCTTCCGCCTCCACAATGGGGTCGGGGCGGTGAGAAACAGGCCCCAGAGGACCTGCCTAGCTCCCAGGTGCCCTGAGTTGCAGACAAGGGCTTGGTTGTGTATTTTCTTGTGGAGGAGGCTTGAATACTATCTGCCCCTCCCTTGATGTCCCTCCCAGGGAGGGTTGGTTTGAAGAAAGTAGAAGGCTCTCTGGGGAGTTTCAGGTATATTTGCCTTACTGTGTTTTAGTTCAACCTAAAAAGAAACTCATACTGACATTTAATTTACTGAGCAAGTGCCTATTATGTGTTGATACTATGCTAAGCCCTATAAGGGCAACAAAAGCAATTAAAGCACAACTTGCTTGATCTCTTCCCCTATTTCCCCCCCTTCCATCCATGTTGTAATGCATGGAATATAATAGGAGGTACTGATGAATTGCTGTTGAATCACTGAACTCAGATTTGAGTGTTAGTCCCTTCCTCCAAAGAGGTGAATGACTCCTGATTGTCTTCCACTAGAGACCTTGCTTCTCCATCAGGCCTTTGTAGCTTGTTAGAGTTTGGCCTCTACCTGTCTGTCTGTTTTCCTTCCCCACTCTAGTGTAGGCTGTAGGCCCACTTAATGTTCTCAGAACATTCTCACATCTGTGCCTTGGGCTACAGCCTGGAGCAAATGCCTTGCCTGGTAGTTGTTTGCTGTTGTGATGATGGATTCTCCAAACCTCAATGAACCACAAAGTCCTTTTTGTCTTTCTATACCCAGCTCAAGTGTCATCTCTAGGAGCCTTTGATAAACTCCCACCTCCAGTTAAGACTGTTGTTCCTTTTATATTCCTACTCCCTTTATAAGGAAGTGCGGTTCCACCAAGCCTTAACCACCAAGCTACCCTGTGTTGGTTACACTAAGTGTTCTTATTTGCCTTGTTTAGGTGTGTTTTTGGATGCTGAGCTCTTGGGAACATGGCTGTTTCTTTTTCATCTTGGTACCCTCATTGCCCTTAAAAGTATTTTATTAGTGGGTGCTCCATAACCTAATGATCAAATACACTGAGTCCACCTTCCTGCTTTTGATCCAGTGGAAGGGACCCTTGCTTGCAGGGACAGCTAATCCAATAGCTGTGATGTTCAGGGTAAGATTCACTTCTTCTCATTGTTCAGAACATAGGGCTGAGCCAGCTGCTGTGGGAGTCTCTGGGAATAAAGTACCCTACCTTCCTCAGGTACTGCCCAGCCTGGGCTGCTCTGGGTATTGTGTATTAGAGTTTAAGGAAGCCATGGAGATCAGCATCATAAAATGCTCAGAGAGATAAGCAACTGTGCCTTGATCTTACTCAGTGGAAAATTTTCCCATGGGGAGGTTTCCTGAAAGTGGATGAATTAAAGGAGGTAAACTATACCAGGTCAACCTAGTGGGTACCTTCAAGGGTTACTTAGTGCTTCTGTTGAGGAATTCAGGATATTTTCTAGACCTCTGGGTTCTCTTTGCTGCTCCTGAGGCAGTCCTATGGGTCTAGGAAAGCTTGATCTGTCTCTCTCTTTTGGATACATTCTCTCTCAATATTATTGCTATTACTGCTATTATTTTTAATGAAAAAAACTTACACATACTTGGAACAGTTGGAAACAATGTGGGAATCCCACTTTACAGAGATAACCGTCACCACCATCAGTTGGTTGTGTTTCCTTCAAGACAATTTTTTCCATCAATCTATGCAGATTATTAGAGTGCATTTAAAAAACAAAAATGGGATTATTACATTTTTTCCTGCAATTTTCTTTTTTTTTTCACATGACAACACATTTGGCCATTTTATCAGGAAGCTTTCTGATCCTCTTCCAAGCTGGGTTTAAACTGTGTCTTTGCAGTCAGTCCGTCAGTGGGCCAGCACTGATGAGAGTAGCCCATGCCTTAAAGCACCTCTAAGGATAAGAGTAAACATTTAACACAGGGGCCTGGGTGTTTAGAACCTGCTGCAGTTGCCGGATAGCTTTGAGGTCAAATGTGTGATTTTACAGGTTCGTTTTATGTTCATTCATTATCTATCACCAGGGAAAACTGATGGTTTAGGGGAAATACATTCTGTTTATCCTGGGGTTGTCATCCCCCAGGGTACCCTTGGCTCAGTGTGGAGTGCTGCAGGAAGTATGCGGAGGAATATCAGAGTTCTGGGTGGACAGATCAAGAATGGTCTCAAACAGGGGAAGGGAACATTGCACTTTTGGGTGATTAGACCGGTGGAGTCCCATCTGGGCCTTGTGTCCTCTTCAGTCTTTAGTTTATTCTGAAATTTCCTGCCATTAGGGACCAATCACCATACCAAAAGGTATCACTTACAATAGATCCGTTGACCAAATGGTCCTTATCATGGAAAGCAGAACCATAAAGCCAAGTGGGCCTGTTTCATTTTGGAGCTTACAGGATGATGATCGCATCTGGGTAACAATACAAGTATCTCATACCGATAGAGGCTCACCATGTGCCAGACTTCCTTTAATCTGCATTTACACTTGAGATTCAAAGAGATTGAATAGCTTGCCCATAGTCAACACGGCCAGTAGGCATTGATACCTGTGTGTGTGTGTGCCCTTGTGCACGTGTGGGCCTGTATTCACCCATGTGTATATGTACACACGTGTGTGTATGGAATGGGGTGCAGGAGAAAAGCACGTCCTCTTCTCTGCAAAATGTTGCTACGGACTAGATCAGCCTATCACAGACGATTATTGACCGTCACAGGCTTCGGTTGCCTACCTGGTGTGAGTTACACTTTGATGTTTGTGCACATGCCAGCTGGTTTCGACCAGTCCAGGTGGCCCCAAGTCAGAGGTTTGCCTTTCTCTGGAGGAACTCGGATTCCCGTCAGTGCTCTTGGCCGTCAGCTAAGCTCCTAGCTACCTCCTAGCTGGAATGTGGTTTCTTTGGCCAACATGACTAGCAGTGTGCTTTGAAGCTTCGGTGGCTAGTTGGCCACATCAGGGACAGTGAGAGCCCTGGGGTCCCTGGGGGATGAAGCTTGCGCAGAGGAGAGTGAGGATGGAGAATGATTGTGAGACCAAGTCATTTAGCTGAAAGAGCTGGGGTTTTTAAGTCCAGAGAAGAAGAGGTTCAGAGGGAAGGAGGCCAGTGTAGAGAAAAGGGAAATCTGTTGCTGTCCCTGAGGGAATCCCCGGGTCCCTTAGGTAGGTGTTCTGAGGGAACATGTAAGTTCATCATCAGGAAGCTGGAGGTACCCAGGAGCAAAATGGGATGTCTCGAAGGGAGGTGACAGTGTATGTGGAGGTGCTAACACATGTCCCAAATGGACGCTCTTACCTACGCATGGAAAATGCTGTCCTCAGTCTCAGCGCCCACCTGCCAGGTACATGGGTGCGTGTGGGGGTTCCTTCCTAGGCTGGCAGGTTGGACTTCAAAGGTCTTCACAATCCCATCCCATTCCGGGTGTCTAGGCTGCAGGGTAGTTTTGCTCAGAGGCCACCCTGTGGACCCACGCAGACCCATGACCCTGCAGACAAGGCTGGCGGTACATTAATTTGCTAGAGCTGCTATAAGAAGTACCACTGACCAGGTGGCTTAAACAACAGACATCTATTATCCCATAGTGTTAGAGCTGGAAGTCCAAAATCAAGGTGTTGACAGGGTTGGGTCCTTTGAGGCCTGTGTGGCAGTGATCCGTTCCAGGCCTCTCTCTTTAGCGTGTTCACATGGTAGTCTCCCTATATGTGTGTCTGTCTTCAGGTTCCCCTTTTTATAAGGATATCAGTCATTTGAGATTTGGCCCACCCTAATGACCTCATTTCAACTTAATAACCTCTGTAAAGAGCCTGTTTCCAAATACAGTCACATTCTGAGGTACTGGGGGGTAAGACTCCAACATAGGAATTTTCAGGGGACACAATGCAGTCCATAACAGGGACAAGCAGCCCTCCCATGAGTCAGGTCCACATGGCTGTGGGCTGGGTACTCTGCATGCTGCTGGGACCCTCTTTGGCCTTTTCCAGTGGCCCGATCACTTCTCCCTGGGAAGTCACAGGAGGACCAGGCTGTGACATTAGGGTGAAATAGACATCATGTGGCATTAACTATATTCTCATTGTTGTGCAAACATCACCACCATTTATCTCCAGAATGTTTTTATCTTCTCAAACTGAAACTCCATACCTGTTAAATAATAACTCTCCATTCCTCTGTGTCCTCAGCCCCTAGCAATTACCATTCTGCTCTCTGTCCGCATGCATTTGACTCTTCTAGGTCCCTCATATAAGTGGAGTCATACGGTATTTGTCTTTGTATGACTGGCTTCTTTCACTAACCATAATGTCCTCAAGGTTCATCCATGTTGCAGTATATGTCAGAATTTCCTTCCAAGGCCGGATAATATTCCAGTCTACGTAGATACCACATTTTATTTGTCCATTCAGCCATTGACGGACATTGCTGTTGCTTCCACCTTTTGGTGTTGTGCATAGTCCTGCTGTGAACATGAGTGTGTGGACTTTTTAAAAAACTTTGTGCTTATGCATGTGTCTGTCTGTTAGAGAAAGGTTGAACAGATAGTCCCGGGGAAAGCAGCCCAGACACCACGGTGTGTATTTTGACCTATGCATGTGAGCTACGATCATTCTGTATATGCTGTTACGGAACCTGAGCCAATTAAAAAAAAAAAAAAAGTGTTTGCTGTGAAATTGCTTGTTAATGTCCTTGTTTGGAACAGCAGGTTGGTGAGTGCCTGATCTGGGCCAGGCAAAAGCTGGTCTTATCCTCAGGGTCCCCTGTGTGGTTGGTACGATCACCTCATTGCTCAGTGGGGGAAACAGGCTCTGGGAAGCACAAGCTCACCCAGCATATTTCTACCGCAAAGGCGGGTTCCTAACTGGCTTCTCCTCTCCGTCTCTCCTAGACAAATGTCTGCAGACTGCGGCTGACCATACCCCCTGAGAGTCCAACCTCAGAGTCAGGTGAAAAGAAGATTGAAAGAAAAGAACAAGTAAGCCGTCTCTGAGGCAAAGCTCTGACAAGTTCTCATCTTTGAGCTCTTTTATTTTAACCCCGTCCTCCTCCGACCCTCTACCCAGGCTATTCACAGAGTCTGAATGTCAGTGACTCTGCTGATGAAAAGGCCCTCCTGACCTTGCCACCCCATCTTCCATCTTCCCAGAAGTCCGACCGCCCTGCCTGGCTGGCTCCGCCAGCCTCCTGGCCCTGCTCTTGTTTCTTTGCTGAACGCTGGCTCTGTGTGGCCCTGAAGATGTAGGGACATTGGCCTCAGTGACAGGTGCCGTGGCAGGGAACAGGCTTTTCCTGAAAGAGCCCAGTCCTGTGGAGTCAAAGGGCCCATTGTGAGCTGCCCGCGGCCGAGCCTGTCTCAGCCGATGGAGGCGGAAGCCCAGCTCATGGTGAAGGCCACCTGGAGAGAACGAGCCCAGCGGGCAGCCTGGACGCGCGGCGGGGGCACTGGGCTTGAGGGCGGAGCAGATTTCTGTGCTAAGTGCTGGGCCCGAAGTTAAGTCTGACCTTGTCCTCGTCTTAGAGGAGCTCGAAGCTTTTCAGGGGAGACAGACCTGGGAGCAGTGTTGACGTGATAGTTCAAGTGTTAGGGTCCGGAAGGGCAAGAGGGGCTCTGGGAACACGGGGAAGGGAATAGCTGACTGCTGGGGGTGACATTGAAGCAGAGGCCCAACGGAGGCATAGGAGGTACTGCTCACCTCTAGGCCTCTTGTCCTGGGCAAGCCATTTTCTCCTTCACAGAGAGTTAGGGGACATCTCCTGTATTCCAGGCACTGTGTTGGGTGTAGGGTACCATTACTCCACGGTGAGTACAGAGGTGAAGAGAGCAGTGAGCAAAAAGTGCCGGTCATTCACAGAACTTGCCTCTTAGTTGGGGGCAGAAGGAGAATTAAAAATTCATATATTTTTTTAAAGATTTTATTTATTTATTAGAGCGAGAGAGCATAAGCAGGGGGAGCGGCAGGCAGAGGGAGAGGGAGAAGCAGGCTTCCCACTGAGCAGGGAGCCCAACTTGGGACTCGATCCCAGGACCCTGGGCTCATGACCTGAGCTGAAGGCAGACGCTCAACCTACTGAGCCACCCAGGTGGCCCTAAAAAAATCATATTTTATAGAATTTTGAAGGTAGTAAGTGCTGATGGAGACAAATAAAACCAGAGAAGGGAACAAGAGTGCCGGGGGGTAGGTAGTAATCGTTCTTGTGCATATATTTTGTGTAAGCATAAAATAAAACAGTAAAATAATAGGCTATGTGATCATAGAAGTTTTAGAAAAGGAATCATGAGACAATGACAAGCCTTGGTATGGAGTTGCCCACTAACGTGGCCACCTGTAAAAAAGGAAGCTCCTCTGTGAGTGGTACATGGTTGAGAAAATCCTTCAATTTACTGGGTTGGTCTTTGTCTCTCCTCCGCTTCTCTTATCCCCTTCTTTTCCCCACTTTCTACTAAGCACAGAGCTGTCTCTACTAATTCAAATGATGAATGACAGGGAAAGGAGGAAGGGGGCAGGGAGGATGAGGATATGACTAGCACCAGGTTGAGAGAAAGTGAAGTTGCTTATCTGCTTAAAGAGGGAGGATGAGTCCCACCAAAGGATCCAGAAAAAATGCCTGGCCCCACGTGAGAGCAAGGCAAGTCCAGGGCGAGCCTGGGATGTCTCCTGCTAGAGAGTGAGGTGGGCACTCACACGACGGGGGTCATAGCAAAGGACCCAGAAGCTGGTTTGAAGGGGATCTCACTGCCCTGGCAAAATTGGAACAATGTGAACATCAAAGTAATGACAGAGGTGCCTGGGTGGATCAGTCGGTTAGGCGTCTGCCTTTGGCTCAGGTCGTGATCCCAGGGTCCTGGGATCGAGTCCTGCGTTGGGCTCCCTGCTCTGTGGGGAGCCTGCTTCTCCCTCTGCCTCTCTGTCTCTCATGAATAAATAATCTTAAAAAAAAAAAAAGTAATGCCAGTAATATGTTTTGACATGTTGCGTAATAAAAAAAAGATTCACGAGTGTACAGTAATCATCAGAGATTTACAAAGGGTAAGCTCTTTTATAGAACGTCAGCTGATAAACTCGGAAAATCTCTATTTTGTAACCCCTAGGTCAGTTCATCAGTGGATGCAAAGGCTAGTTGGTGGAAGGTTATCATGGAACGGTGTTTTCACATGCTCCCAGAGGATCCCCTCACACGTTACCTCCTGGCCCTGAAGGTCCAGTGGTACAGTCTGGCAGCCAGCATTTCAGCCAAAGCTCCAGTCTAGCTTTCCCAGGAGGGGGGCAGCCTGACCTATGGGCTCCCGAGGTGATGCAGCCAAGGAGTGCCTGATAACACCTATGTGATGTTCATGCCAACTTGTTCAACTAAATCGAACAATAAGGAAACAAAGAAACCCCACATGTGGGACATTCTGCAAAAACATTTGGCCAAAAGGAGACTAAGGAGGGTTAACATCAAATATAATGAGCGAACCTTGATTAGATCGAGGATCAAAAAAAATCTGTAAAAGTTATATTGGGGTAATTGTACAGCTTTGAATATGAACCACATATTCGATATTATTGAATAACTGTTACTTTTCTTACTTGTGATAATGGTACCTTGAACTATTTTCTCAGCCTTTGTGTAGCTTTGAATATTCTCTGAAGAAATCGGGGGGTAAAAGCTCATCACCAGAACCACCCAGCCAGACACCTGTTGTTGGCTAGATGGAGGGGGGCACTGTGCTGCCGGGGGGTGTCCCTTCTGCCCTCTCTGTTGCCTTGTCTGTCCTTTTAGGGAACTGGACCTGAGCTGTGTCCAGGGGCTCACGGCTGCTTAACACATGAAGAATCAGAAGGAGCACTTTTTGAGGAAGCGGCCTAAGCTGGAGGGAGTGAAGGAGAGGGGCCGTAGCGGCTGTCCCCGTGTGCGTGGCAAGGGAAGTGGGGAGTCTGGTCCGTTGGAGCTAGACCCCAGCTGCATGCCTGGGAGAGGTTTAGGAAGGGTTTCTGCTGCTGCAGGCACTGGAGGGCACGTCACCGCTGAGAGGAATCAAGTCTTCCCAGCAGAGAGGGCGTGTGTTCTACATCAGGCGGGAGTCGGTAACCTAGTCATATACTTAGATTTGCCCCTTTTGTCTTAAACAGTGCTTTTCAAACTTTTCAAAGCCATAAGACCCTCTTTTTTTTAATCCAAATATTATCATGAGCCCTCGTCCGCAAACCAGGTCAAAGTGGCGGTATGGGGGCCAGAGTCCCTCCGGTGGGTGCGGGGGCAGCCCAGGGCTGTGGGGAACAGCGGGCAGCAGCCGTGGGGGCGGAACATGCGCCAGGCGGCCTCACACGCTGCTGGCGGACCCGGTGTGCAGCCAGGCGCCCATCGGTGATGCGTCGGTGACTCACTGCCGAAGCATCGGGGTAGAGTGGAGGAGGAGGGTGGGGCCGGCCGCTTCCCCAGGACTGACGTCCTTGGGTGGTGGTTGCTCCAGAAGGTACTGGTGGTAGCTGTGAGGCCGTTCTGAGTGATTTGCCACCATGTCCTGACCAGCTTCCTGCGTTTGAGTCACTGGGGTCGGGGGCCAGGCATGGGCAAGGAGGCCTTGAAAGTGCCGCGTGATGCGCCTCCACCATGGTTGTCCCTCCCTGGGACGTGGTGGCCCCGCAAAAGTGCAGGGCGCCAAGACCTCGGGACCACCCTCCCTGTGGAGGGGACTTGGGTTTCTTGGAGGGGCCAGGGGTGTGCAAGGGCTGGGGGGATCGGAGCTGGTGCCGAGGGGGAAGTGGGAAGATGAGAAAGGCCTGCCAGGCGTCCGATGAAGCAGAACTGGTAGGACCATGTCTGGGATCCTGCTGGAGCTGCAGCTGATGGAGGGCGGGCCTGGGCCTTGTTCTTTGACGCCGTCGTGGCTGATGCTTTGTGTGTTCCAAGCACCTGGGATTCCATGGGGCAGCTGACCACACATACATGGGCTGGGCCATTCTTCCGTGCGCTCTTCCCAAAGTCACTGCAGAGAGACCCCTTACAGGGGAGGGCTCTGGCGCCCGGTGGATCTTGCCCGGCTTTGTGACAGTGTGTTTGGAGACTTCTGGAGGCGGTCACCGCAGAGGCGTCTTTTTCTGGAGTCCCGGGCTCCAGTGGGGGAAGGGGGAGGTTTCCTGCCCTTATAGCAGGCTGTTCCTGCCTACTGCTTTTAGTCCTTCTCTTCTAGAAGGTACCAGCTGCCCCGAGACTGCTTTTTGTTGGCCACAGATGAGCTCCCAAACACTTAGTTTCTCTGCCACTCAGTTTCCTTGTCTTCAAAGGAAGCACAGTAATGCCTGGTTGCAAAGAGTAAGTGAGCTAATATATGAGAAGACCCACCAAAGTGGCCTGTAACATTGCTTAGAGAGGTAGTGACTCAGGGCCAGGCTCAGCCCTTCGAATGCCAAGCACAGTGGCCCTTCTTTGCTTTTCTCCCTTAGGCTTCTGGGAGTTATTCCCCCTCCTGGAACTGCCTGTCCCGCATCTTCCTCTTGGGCCATGCCCATGGCATCTTAGTTTGATATCCGTATGCCCTTCTCTGTAAATCTGAGCCTCCCTCTGCCCGTGTCCTCAGGCCTTGCTTCCTCGCTCTGCAGACTTTACCTCCGAGAGCTGCTCCTTTCCTGGCTGGGAGCCAGCTTTTCTGGGGAGATGCTCACCCTGCACATCAGCTCTGTCCTGCTAAGCCCTGTCCTGCTGGTGGCCAGGCCAGTTTTCCATGTTCTTTACATGTGGTATTTTTAGGATACAGGTATCTCATCAGCGCATTACCATTATTTTGGTATTTAAAAATATGAATCTGGATCATTTAAATGAATAGACATGCCCAAAAAGGTCTAGGCTGCATGAGAGTTTGGAATGGAACCTACGTATTCACATTCAGGAAGTGTTCTGACCCCACCCTCCCTCTGTGTGAGAGTCTCCTGAGGCATCTCACATCCCCATTGCCCGATGACCGATGACCGGTGAGAAGGAGTGTGTTTTCTT